CCCCGCCCATTTAAAAAATTGGTTTCAGTGTTCAGTTGATCGTTTTATTTTAATTTACAATTGTATATAATTATATTCTATAATTTTTTCATCACGTGCTGGGGCAGTTAACATGAATAAAGGCAGAAATATTCCATTTCATAGCAAGAACTAGGTGAGGTCTTTCCAGATGTCAGGCAGTCGGTCAGAACGTTGTTACACACTATCTTGCAGTATTGGCTAGGCGGTCTACCGACGACTTCATTCGGCACAACCATCAAACATAAGGCAGCGAACAGACAAAACACTGCAAATCTCATCTAAAAATTAATAAAGAAATAAACAATTTTTAGTCACTAATGATTTGATTTGAGGCCGTTCTTAGCCCAAATATAATTGGATGACCGTTCTTAAAATATTATTGGATGACTGTTAATTGTTAGCCAACCAATATAATTGGCTGACTGTTCTTGAACAAATGATATGATTCAGGATAAATGTTCTAATCGCCAACATTTGATTAAATGACTGTTCTTAGCCAACCAATATGATTGGATGGCTGTTCTTGGCCAACCAATATGATTAGCTGATTTGACCATTTATCCCAACCAATCAGAGAAAAGCCGGGCAAGAATTTCCTGTATTCAATTCACAATAATAAACTAGCCCTTCCCATGTCATTTCTATTTATGAATTTTAAGTGTATCAGATGGGAWATCGGTCATCTGTTTATCCCTGGGTGAACGGCGAAGCCGTCTAAGCTCCTGAGAGCACAGGGATGTAATTCTCAGGGTGACTGATAACGAACTCGTTTCTCAGGAAGAGTAGGACTGAGTTAGGTGCGCGCACAAAACTCCCGCCTTTTTCCAAATTTTAATTCAATTTCCCACATTTTTGTCAGATCCTTTGTTACCAGTCTCCGTAACAAATAAACTCGTGTATGCTACTATAGGTAGCCCAGTATAGAAATGAATTTTTTTCACATTCAGTAAGTCACGCTTTGATCCTTAACTACGGACTCATTTGTACACCTGTAATGTACTGAGAATGTGCAATGTTTTGAAATCCCATGCACGGACTCTTAAATATATAAATGTTTTAATATAAGATATATAAAAATGCATAAATGCGTCTGCGGTCTTCAAGAACAGCGGTATCGAATGAAAAGTAGGACTATTGTAGCAGACTGCTTCGCATGATAAGAATACTGAACAGATAAAAGTTAGCAGCTGACACGCGTGATAATGAACGAGCGTGATGACACGTCAGCCTTTCATCCGCCAAGCGATAACGACTATCACAAACCAAGATAAGATAATGCGAGAATGATTAGACAATAGTTATTATGATTATCAGACCTATTTTCTCTGATGGGAAGCTAACTACACTGAGAAGCCAGAACAATTTTATAATGGTTATTTCTGGGAAGGCCAACGCTGTTCGCCTTCAAAGACAATAAAAGAAACCACTGCCCGAACGAATCTAAATTTTTTTAATATGAGTACCACGAGTAAAATACGGCAATGTTTAATTGGTTGTCAATGTCTATGCACCTAAACAATCAAGTTGCCTTGTCAGTTGACATGCATGCCCAGCGGTACAAAAGCAATGAACTTTACACACCCAGTTTTGGACTCAATCCGAAGGAAAATTAAAACCGTCAAAAATGTCAGTCAAGTCGTATATATTCAGGCTAAAAACCGATTGTAACTTTTATTGTGTATGTATATATATATTAGCTTACTTAGCTTGGTTTTACAGCTGACCACGTCGACTAAAGCCGCATTACGATCACTGGATATGTTTTCAAATCCACTGAAGATGCTGTAGATTTTGAGCTTAGGAGAACTCAAATAATCCCTTTTGTTTAAGAGAGAGAGAAARAGAGAGAGAGAGAGAGAGAGAGAGAGAGAGAGAGAGAGAGAAAGAGAAACAGCTAGACAGAGAGAGAGAAAGAGCTCTGGAGAGAAAGAGATAGCAACTGAGCTAGAGATATTTTACCTTCTTTGATGTATTGTTTTCCAGCTTCAATACTTGACACTCGTACAGCTCTCCTTAAGCATTCACAATCAACTAATGCTGACTTGTGGTTGATTTATATAGYATAAAAGTGATGGATGGGACACACCCTGTCATTGTCTTGAAATCAGGGGGGAGCACGAGGCACTAATAGTCCTTAATTCCAATCAGTTTACCCTGTCACAATAGATGAGTAAGGTTTTAGAAAACCGTTCGGCTGTTGAGGAAGTTATCAAAATTATATATAAAGGCAGTCTTACTGGGGTGGGGGAGCCGATAGAAGTTATCATAGGTGTAAAACGCACGCATGTTGGGGTAGCTAGGGAGGGAATCTTTGTTAAGATTATTTTATATAAAAAAACTTCACCTAGCTAAGGAAGAAATCAAAAAAATCTGTTTAAAAAAACTATTTCAAGTTAAATGAATTAAAATTGTTCCGTTATACATTTTTACTTTGTAAAACGAACGCATAAACAAAATATAGGTCGTATTTGGAATAAAGTTCTCGGTAGGAAAAAATGTCTACACTACTCATTAAATACAAAAAATTGCCTTTTTCATTAACTTTATTTCATATTGTTGGAAAGACGAATGATGCRGCGAAATTCAAAGAAAAGACATTTCTTAATATTGGATCTAGCACTATGTCTCTGACTATTAGTTTTTTTGACTGTTTATTGCTATTCTTTAAACCCAAGAGATGCTTTATTGAGCTACCAGGTGTAAACTCACTTAGGTATTTTACACCGATGATTAGCCCTACTCGTAATAATGCGAAAAAATACTCATACTGTGAAGCAAAATAATGTTATTTCCATGATATATATTCCTCTAGCATATGGGGTTAAAACGGTACTCAATACAAAACGTTATGTTTTGGTATTAACTGAAATTTTAACTCAAAAACAAGAAAGATGACAAGTAAAAAGAAGCCAACCACGGAAACTAAACACAAAGAAAAGACAAAGAAATATTGAAAATTAGAAGAGCAGAATGAAGATCGTTAAACGTATACCATTTYTCTTAGCGTAGGGGGTGGGGGACGAATATTTTAAAGGCCTGCATTATATTTCTTTTTCTATTTCTAGCTTTTTGACCGACAAATGTTGAAAAACTTAATCCAAATTTCCCCCAGTCATGATCAGTAATAAACAAGCACTATGGCGGATTTGGCGAGACCTTTTCGCGCCAAAACGCGCGCGCTCTCCTCACCATTTCCCCCTCAAGCGGGAAATCTCAAATGGTCGCCTTTATGCCTTTTGAGATTGCAAAATAAATAAGCAGTTTACATTGATAACTACTGAGTAATGCAACTCTTGAATCCCATTGATTTTGAAATGTTTATAAAGAGCACAACAGGATTTTATGAATTAGTTTTTAAACCTAATACCATTTTAATAGTCCATGACTTAACGGCTTAACCATAATATTCCTGGGCATAAAACTCAGTTATTCACGAAAATATTACATCTATATCTGTCAGTAAGAATTGTTTGAAAAAAAAAAACAATTACGGGAAAGTAAAACTTTCTCAATCGCGAAAATCATCTTTAACTAGAGCTTGGTTTGTTAGAAACTTCTTTTTTTGACATCAATAATTCATAATTAGCATAGAATTTCGTCGGAAGTATGATAGTCAAAGTAGGAGGAGAAAAAAGAGCTTTTTCCATGGGGTATCCGCTATTTGACATCAATCCATTGATATGACGCTAATTAACAAGTCAAGGATCCGGCAGGATCCGGCACCATCACGGTGCCCAGCTGCAGATGTTTCTCTACCTTCGCCTCCTACAAGAGAAATAGTATTTACTAGTAGTTACTTGCCTTTTATTGGAGTATGTATTCGCTCTGTCCTTTTATAAAACGTTCAGTTCCTTTGGCAGATTTCCAAGATAACATATCCCTTGCTATTAAACATTTGATTTTGACTATATTTGATATTACATTAYATGTGGGACCCTTACGCTTCGCTGTCCCGTTAMCCCTAYTCTACGCATGCGCATGCTCAAAACTGAATTAAAACAGGTTTTTTTACGTCTATGATTWTCTGCTTAGCCATCCGTTTGTATTATAAAACTACGGTACCCTTGCCGAGCTGGATCACCAGCATTTCACGTGTTAACTCTAATAAATTTTACTTGCAGTTAAGAMCAAAGTAAGCCGTAAAATCCAACTTTCTTTTATTCATTCAACTTGCAATGCTCGGCATGAGACTCGGCGACTTCACCTGTTGGTCACTTTGTCGCTTATCTTAATGGACCACACTTTTATTCCATTAGATGCGGAAAAGCCGTCAAGCTAACCTGCCTCGAGTCGTTCCCTGAAACGATCTAATTATAGAGCGACAGCTGAGAGGCCTTGTCAAATATTTAATGCCTGAAAAATTGACACATTGTATCGTAAATACTTTTTGGAATCCGTCATTTTCTACCTTTTTTTTATGATATTCCTCGAACGAGCCACTAATGAATGGTTGAGCAGTTCAAAATACACACACACACACATCTATATGTATTCCATTCAAAAAACGAACTTACTGAAGCACTCGAGAGAGAAAAATTCAATTGAACAGGCATTATCATCGTTATCATGTAACTATTTTCATTTCCTTCTACAACGTTTTCCTTATCATTCTAGCTGTTTTTTGATAAGATCTTAACCCCGGTCTCGTATAAAAGCCTGTCCTAAAGTGTTTGAACAAGTGTTCAATCTATCACTAGACGTCGCGTCGTCCGTTCAAACTGCTTGCGATAGAAAACCCACAGCCGAGTAAGTGTTCATTTTTCTCAATCATCTCAACTATATAGCTTGTGATTGTGACAAGCAATTGTTTTTTTTCGTAATTCGTAGACAAAATATTGTATTTTAATGAATTCAAACAAAGATTAAGTCTCTTTATTGTCTACACAATTACTCCAATAAATAACTGCTCAAAATTTAATTTTCGTCCGTGTTTAGTCACACCTTAGTACTAATATCGGGCAGACTACTGTTATGAAATACAGGTCACGTGATCCTACCTCCCTTAAAACGAGCAGCTTTGTCAAAGTAAAGAAATCAAAAGAGCATCTCGGCTTTAGTAGGGAGGCAGAGTTTCAGCTCACAATAAGCGAAACAGGAGAAATGCTATTAGATATGAAATTGAATAGTTTATACTGAAGGATTTGTATGGAAAATGCGCTGGACGGCAAAAGCTTACCAGCCAACACTTTTCCCATACAAATCCTTGTAAATCATTTGATTTTATATTTCATTTTTTTCTCCTATACTCAACCTTTCGAGCTAAAACCTCACTCTCTAAATTCGAGGTGCTCTTTTCGATCATTTCTGGAGTTCATTTTGACCCATTTGCTCGTTTTAAGGCCGGGGATAGGGTGACGTGACCTGTTAGTGCAAGTCGTCTATTAAGCAGGACGTATTGTAAAGCAAAGAAATAAATAAGAATCAAACCTATGACGAAAGTTTTAAGGAGTTAGGGAGCCAGAACTTGTTGTGAATAAACGGCGAATCTCTAATCATGTAGGAGGTGACGCCCTGCTTCAATTGTTGAAGGCCCGCGCTAAATGTTATTCGCAGGAAAAAAGGGATTACATAGATCTGAAGGTTTTCCAACAATCATTTAGCTATAACTGATCATTCATGACCAATATATAGTTGGCTCTTGCCATGTTTCCTCCGAAAGGGTTTACGAAACTACTCATGAAGATGTTTTTTTTCTTCTATCCTTAATGCTACAGAATATGAAACGAAAAAGTAAATATATTTCGGTTGGAATTTATGACATTGAAATTATGTTAGACACGATTTTTTTCTGGCTCAAAAGTTAAGAATTAAATATATGAACTAGCAACAAACAAGTGGTTCAGTCTTTCACAAGAAAGAACTACAGTAATATAATCATGCTGATAAAGACTTTTWAAAAAAATCTCAACAAATTTCAGATTCGCAACTCAGTGTTAAGGTTTTACTTTGTTAAATTAAGTGTTTCAATTTCTCTAAGTATTTTTTGCTCTCTACAGATTTTGATCGTCCAAGATGAACAACTTTGTAAAGATTGCCCTCTTCGTTGGCCTCGCCCTGATGTTAACGTTCCCGGATGCGCAGGCGCGTCGTCCACATCAAAGTAATCACCATTGCATCGGCAATTGTGGAAATCAAGCCATCAGAAGCTGCCGCTATTGCGAAGAAATACTTCGTACGACTAGAGCTTGCGATGAAAAATGCAGATATCCATTTTTTACGAGGTGCGTTTTGAGCAACTGCATTTGAGGGACCTGTGTTTGTAAARGCATTTTTCGCAAATGTATTCCATAACAGTGTTATCACGCAGGCGTTAAAGAGTCATGACGTTTATAGTCAAAGTAACTGCAAAATATTAAAGAACAGAACTGATTCCAATTTTACGTTGTCAGTTTGTTTTTATTCAACGTCTTGGTATGATACAAATCCCTTATGTCATCCAACAATATAGGGAACTCAAGGGCGGATCCAGCCAAAATTTTAGGGGGGGGGGGGCTAATTGAGTTTAACAAAACGGAAAACAATATAAAAAAGCATCGGTTTTTTTCTGCTGAAGGGGGGTCGGGGGGGGCAGGGGCTTCAGCTCCCCTTTGCCCCCCTCCCCCCCTGGATCCGCCCTTGGAACTAATGTTTCTATTGCTTGTGATTTCATCATGGTATCCATTAACCATGGAGCCGGAGCTAATTATTTTCTATAGAGCTTTTAAGCGTCAAGTAATTGAAACGAAAAACGACTTCCGGGTCCAATCACTTCAGCAGACATTTTTGTGTTATGTCATTTTTCTTCATAGCAGGATTATCTCAGGTTCATATGTCAAAATATACTGAAGGTGGAGAATAAATCCGGGAATAAGTTGTGGCTGAAGATYCTAACGATCTATTGTGTAATTGGAGGGAAGTCCAAATAGACCAGTTTCAGCAACTTTCAGAGCCGTTCAACTCAGAGGACAAAACAATAAACTTCAGTTTTCACGAGAATAAGATTATATTGCAGTTTTGTCCTCTGAATAGAGCCGTTTCGAATTCCAAATTACCGCTGTGTTTCTTGATTACAGACTCGTTTGCACAGGGTTAGCCTCGAGTTAGTGCAGAATATTCACGTGTTCCAGTCAAGGTCCGTCAAGTTTCAAAGTGTTTGTATTGTTAAAGTTGTGCATTCTTTACTTTACCGTTGGTATTTGTGAATATTAGACACTGATTCGAGGCTAACCCTGTGCAAATGAGTCTGTAATCAAGGAACACAGCGGTAATTTGGAATTCGAAACTGGTCTATTGGGCTGCATTGGGAATATCCTGCAAGGGGTTTACTGTCAGGGGCTGCGGAACCGGGGGGGCCACGTGCCCCCACCAATTGTTTGGGGGGCCTGGCCCCCCAAAAATTATTGGTTCACATGAAATAAGAATGCATAGATTCGATTTTTATTACCATTATTAAGTTATTGTTGTGATTTTTTGCAGTGCCCCCCAAAGATTTTTTGCAGTGCGCCCCCCCCCCCCCAAAGATCTTCAGCTTCCGCCGCCCCTGACTGTTCATTCATATCAACTTTCATGGATGTTTGCTTTATGCAGGTGTTTATACAGTTCTGGCAGTAGACCCTTTTACTCTGGTCGTATCAGATTTTTATCGTTATTAAATGCGAGAAAAAAGTCATACTTGTATCTATAGCTTCTGAAGTCTGGACAACAGACAAAGGAATAAAACTCAAGGGAATCATACAGGTGGCCTAAAATGAAAAGAATTCAGTAAACGTCCAAAGTAAAAGGGTCCATACATATGCTTGCTTACAGACAAAATATCGAGTAACGAGCACTTATTATATCAGTCGTCGTATTGTAGTCCTAGGTTAAAATAATGGGCGGGATGATCCGATGTGTGTCTCCTCTGGTTCCCGTCAGGCAAGAAATGTCGTAATAAGTGTTGAAACTTGACCTGAAAATTTCAAACAAATATCATGACGTACTGTAGCACAAGATATCGTGAAATGCTGTCGCTCCTCCCATGCAAAAACAGTTGAAAGCTTGAATGTTAACAAGATTTCCCTCCTTAGATCAAATATAACGCCATAGCTTGTAACTTAAGTTAGGGAACTCCCTACCCAGGGGCGGATCTAGCTAGATGCAGGAAGAGGGGGGAGGTGTTAGGGATGTCTTCGTCTCTCCGAATCCCCTAAACCGCAAACGAAAACCCTCAAATGACGACTCCGAACCCTTTTACTAGGTCATCTTGGTTGTATCGAACCTAAAAGTACTATTGTATCGCCTTGAATGCCTAAAACAGCTGGAACGTATTATACTTTTGGTTAACGAATCTGCAGTCGGGTTTTTCCTTATTAGTACCAACATCGGTTCGATTCCCATAGCCACATTCCCGCCCCTCATCCCTCCCTACCCTAGGGACGAAGCAGTTTATCAATTTCAAATACAGACTGTATGGCAGATAAGAGACTATTCATTATTCATATCTAGGGCTGGAAATAATGAAAACTAATTTCAAAGCGTATTATCCCTCCTCTTACCCAAACTAAAACGTCTAAGCCCCCCCCCCCCCCGTTTCTGTGTGCTTATGAAAACCCAAGAGACCCCCTACTACTTGTGACTAGCCCCTCCTTTTTTACCATCCCCCTAGCAATAATGAATGACTTTTAAAATAAACTTAAAATATACTTGCCTGAGGCTTGCGAGTAAACTGAAAAAAGAGAGAATGAAAATTAGTTAGTTTATCAAAATGAGAGGCTAACTTGTACCCAACGAACGAATGGAAAGTGGTTGACCCGTAACGGGGGGAGCGTCCAGCTAAATATCAAACACTATTATCTTAAAATTGATAAAGGCGACTCATTTTTCCGAAAATTAAAGTTCACACAGTTGGCATTTGTAAATGATGAAAACTCAGAACAAGACATGCGGAAAAGCACATGCTTGAAAGAAACCATTCAAATGCTTCATATAATTATTTGCATTTAGAAATTCGTGACTGAACCTTGTCGATTTCATTCTCGTTTTCTTTTATATATTCACGAGGCTGGGATATTTCAGTAACAAGTTTCTTGTTGAGTAAGATTTCGAGACGGAACTACTGCAAAAAGGAAACAGAAAACGCCGCCAGTACTTCTAATGAACAGCGTGTGCTACCAGTCTGTGCTGATCTAGTTGAATTTCCCATAGAATCAAAAGTCAAAAGAGTCAAATGCAATGTTGGATTACAAAGTGACATAAGCGTAAACTTATAAAAAATTACCTTAAAAAAAAAAAAAAAAAAAAAA